ATAAATAAATAAATAAATAAATAAATAAATAAATAAATAAATAAATAAACTATATGTATATATATATATACATGATGATGGATGGAAGTTACCTTCATACCCTAAATGAAACTGCTATAAGTTAAAAGACTTTATGACATGCACATAATATATAAATAGAATGAACTTTGTTGTTCTTTTTCTTTGAAAAACAATACACATCTCAGCTTCCTTTTTGTCTTGTTTTAAGGTTCGTATGGACCTGACTGAACAAGAGAATGTGTGCAGTGCAGCCTCCAAACGTGGCCGGTTTCGCCAGGAAGTCAGAGTTGGGCCCACTACTACTCGTTCCGTACCCTTCGTCATTATCCCCATGAAGGAGGGTCAACACAGCATCGAGGTCAAAGCTGCCGTTAAAAACTCCCACCTCAGTGATGGAATCATGAAGATGCTCAGGGTCGTGGTAAGAGAGACAATTATGAATATCTGTACAATAGAATATACTGTTTAACTATCTTTTAATCAAAAAATGATACGGATGGGTGTTTTTAGTGATTGGTTTGATCCACCTTTCCTTTGGATATTCCATGCTAAGGAATACTTTCTAAAAACTGCAACAGTAATTAACTATTGTTTCCTTTCCCTCTTTTTTGTCAGCCTGAAGGTGTACTAACCAAAGAGGCCAAGACTGTGACTCTGGATCCAGCTAATAAAGGAAAAGGTGGGTTCAGCAAAAGTGCACTGTAGCGCGTTGCTAGTAATATGTTTTGTCACTCACTTACTGATTTCTCACTCCTTTCTGATTTTTAGAAGGTGTACAAGAAGAAATTTTGAACAATAATATTCCAAAGAATGGCTTGGTTCCAAATGCACCCACTACCACACAGGTGTCAGTCACAGGTGAGAGATGCTGTTACATTTAAGCCACATACGTGATACGATGAAAAATGCAGATGGAAATGAAGAGGATGACAGAATCAGTCAACATGTTGGAACTCTGAATATACGTTTAAGAGGCTTTAATGTAATTCAGAGGTCTCGGATTTGTGTGTGTGTTCCTACAGGAAGAGAGCAAGTGGCTGCACTTGTGGAGAATGCTATCAGTGGGAAATCTATGGGCACGCTGATCAGACAGCCCACAGGCTGCGGAGAGCAGACCATGATCCATATGACCCTCCCTGTCATCGCAACCACATATTTGGACAAAACCAACCAGTGGGAAGCTGTGGGATTTCAGAGGCGAAATGAAGCTATTGAGCACATAAAAACTGGTAGGCTCTCACACTTCAACAACTCCAAAAAAATCTCAATGTGGTTTTGAATGAATAGGAGATGAAAGAGTTGGATAACTTCCCAATAAGGTTGTGGCTTTTGCTCTGTCCAGGCTACAGAAGAGAGCTGACTTACCGTAAAGGTGATGGGTCATTTGCAGTCTGGGTTAATCATCCGAGCAGCAGCTGGTGAGACTCTTAAGAACGTTTGAACGCCTCTAACATTTTATTTTCATTCCTGGTTGTCTAACGGTGTACTTTATGCCTGAGGATTAAGCCATCCCACTCTTCTCTTCAAGGCTGACGGCATTCGTTGTGAAAGTGTTTTCTATAGCCTACAAGCTGGTGGCCATAAAAAATGAACACATTTGTGAATCAGTCAAGTATCTGATCCTCAACGCTCAGCAGCCCGACGGTTTATTTAGGGAAGTTGGCAAAGTTATCCACGGAGAGATGATTGTGAGTGCATCGTTTTTGATTCTTTATGAGTTGTTCAGCTTAGATTTTTTACTTAAGCTGATGCTGATAACGATGGCATACAATGGTGTGCATGCATGTGCAGGGTGACGTGCGTGGCAAAGATTCAGATGCCTCCATGACAGCCTTCAACCTAATTGCCATGCAGGAGGCTCGCACAATATGTGCCAACAGTGTTAATGTGAGTACCTCGCCAAACGCCATTTCTTTTTCTTCTCATCAAAAAAAGTCTATCCATGCAATCTTGCATGATCTCTTTTTTATTTCCTGTTTATCTAGAGTCTGCCAGGCAGCATTGACAAAGCAATCAGCTACCTGGAGAAACGTCTGCCAACTCTAACCAATCCCTATGCTGTCGCTATGACGTCATATGCTTTGGCCAATGAAGGAAAACTGGATCGGGAGACCCTTTACAAGTTTGCATCTCCAGGTAGTCCAACATAAATCCGTTTTGAAATACTCTTAACTTTACACTTTATTTTTCAATGATGGCAGTAAAAAATGTTAATAAGAACACTGAGGGGAATTCAGCTCTCAGAAGCAATAAAACAATTAAGTGACTGTTCTTTGCATGTTTTGGGACATGTGATATCCTACAGTTATGGGAAAAGTATTTGTCTTGATCTTTCAGAATTGTCTCACTGGCCTGTACCTGGAAAATATGTGTTCACACTGGAGGCCACAGCTTACGCTCTCTTAGCTCTGGTCAGGAGCAAGGTAGGCCCATCACACCTATTTGGCATGTTCAGACATTATCCATGTCGTTTCACTAAAATAAATAAAGAAGATCTCTTTCACATCACCAAATGTCGCTTCTTCAGTTATGATTCATTTATTTCGAAAATATGCACAATTTGTTTTTTAAAAGCAAGACAAAGAATTATAAATTTAAGGTGCCTGGTCTTGCATCTGAACATTTAGCTGCCTTTTTTTTTACATCCAATACATTGTTTTGCATTAAGAAAAAACAATAATATGACACAATCAGCATCTCTTTGTCTTTATGAAATGGAAAATGGATTAAACAAAGGTTCAAACATGAGCATTGCCAACTGACAAATAGTCGTTTTAACAAATCAGCCACATTGGTTCCATTTTCTGTTTTTCTTTTTTATATCAATAAAGTTATTTGAAGATGCAAGACCTGTTGTGAGATGGTTCAACCAGCAGCAGTTTGTGGGTGGCGGTTATGGATCGACTCAGGTAGTACAAAACTTTCTGTTCGACTGGACGTTTGCTTTTCAGGGATGATTAACCTCACTGTAACTTTTCTGTCTAGGCTACAATCATGGTTTACCAGGCTGTGGCTGAGTACTGGACCGAGGCTAAAGAGCCAGAATATAATCTAAAGGTAGACATTTTCATGCCGGGAAGAGCAAATCCTGAAAAGTACCACTTTACCAGAAACAATCACTATGCGACAAGAACATCCAAAGTGAGAACTCAATCTCTTTTTCATACATACCACATCCCAAGGATGTCAACATCATCTGCTTATCGCTGCGAATGAACATCTGAGCACGTGTATCCCAACAGATTAATGACATAAACCAGGATGTGAAAGTGAGTGCCACAGGATCCGGGGAAGCAACTGTGAAAGTAAGAACAATAAATCCAAATGCATTTCACCATTGCTTCACTGTGGAACAAGAGAGCACTCAGTATAAAAAGGAATGTTAGGTTAAATAATGATCCAGCAACACACACAAATGCAAAAAAAGTCCCAATTAAGAGATTGTTGCTGAATGTCATAAACCTTCAAAGAATAAGGGGTACAATGCTATGGCAAGTGCTTCTTAGTTTTTCTGCAATTCAGTACGACCAAACTGTTTATTTGGATTGGCAGATGGTGTCTCTGTATTATGCTCTGCCTAAAGAAAAGGAAAGTGACTGCAAGAAGTTTGATCTGAAAGTGGAGCTTATTCCAGGTATTGCTGTGCCCTTTGTCTGTTTCTGCCCATTCATTGGTCATTTTATCTGTTTGTCTGTTTTAATCCGCAATCTTATGCATATCAAACACTTTGTTTCTCCAGAAAAATTGGCCGACAGTGAGAAGATATACAAGCTTAGAATTGAGGTTTTGTAAGTACACATTTTGTATTGTATTGTACAGTTTTAATTGTGGAAATTCGAAATGGTGAAAAGTAACAAAAGATATTTAAGTCAAGTAATATTATAGGTCACTTTGTGCCTTTGCTTGATATTTTTAACTACTATATCTATTATTGTGTTCAGGTACAAGAACAGCATGCAGGATGCAACCATGTCGATCCTTGACATTGGCTTGCTTACTGGCTTCACTGTTGATACAAAAGATCTGGACCTTGTAAGAATTGTCATGGTCACTGTTTCGTGTTATAATTTAGAAATACCTGTTTGAAAATTAGGATTTGAATAGTGGTTGAAAAGGCTGTCTCGTGCTTTTGTGCAGTTGTCTAAGGGCCGTGCGGCTACCATCGCAAAATACGAGATGAACACAGTCCTGTCAGAGAGAGGCTCGCTCATCATTTACTTGGACAAGGTAGGGCACAGGTCGACTTCTCTCTTTCTCTCCGTTTGGACTTTTTTCATCCGTTTCAATTTCCCTTTTGTTTCACCTCTCCAGGTATCTCACACACGGCCAGAAGAGATTGCATTTAGAGTCCATCAGACAATGAAAGTGGGCGTTTTGCAGCCAGGATCCGTGTCTGTCTACGAATACTATGACCGTAAGTCTGAGAGCAATATGCTTCTTTGCTCCTCCCTTCATTTTTTTGTGTTTGTATTTAAGGTAAAAGAGTACACATGAAACAGAAAATTACTGAATAAGCTTTCCATAGTTTTGAACCCCTTTTTGTCATTTCAGAAACGCCATGTGTAAAATTCTACCATCCAGAGAGGGAAGCTGGACAACTCCTGCAGCTTTGCCAGAATGATGAATGCACATGTGCAGAAGGTGAACAAGATCATAACTACTTAACAACTGAAACAGAACAAGCACCGTACATACATCTTCCTCCATTGCTCATCAGTACAGAATTCTTCGTTTCACAATAGACTTTTGGCTACATTGAAATTAAATGAGGGCTTCTGTCTGTGATCATAAAGCTATTAATAGAAAAATCAATGCTTTTTCATGCACATTTTTTGTAATTCCAGAGGAAGAGCCAGTGGCACAAAGCAATTATATATATATATATATATATATATATATATATATATATTAATCATGCATATTTGTGTCTTTATGTGTGTGTGTGTGAGTGAATGTGAGTGGTGTGTTTGCATTAAATGTGTTTTCACCCTGTATAATTTTGTATTTTCAGAGAATTGCAGTATGCAGAAGAAGGGCAAAATCAGCAATGATGAACGCACAGCCAAGATTTGCGAGAGCACAGAGATCAGCAAAATTGACTATGGTGCTCTTCATTTAGTTTTCCAACCCTATCAACTGTTTGTTTAGATTGAGACTCCAGATTTGAAAATGAACAGTTAATTAACTTTACCCTGTCTGATCACAGCGTACAAAGTTTTGGTGGAGAATGTTGTATACGATTTGGCCACGGACAGTTATGCAATGAGGATAACGGAAGTCATCAAAGAAGGTAGGGGATGAGTCTCTTTAATACATTCGTGTGTGTTTCTGGACATTAGGGAAACAAGAAAATGGCTTGTTCATATTTCTTTCCAGCTACAAAAAACATACTGTCTGGGATATTTGCCCTAAATGTAATTTCTGGAAATTTCACTACCATTCATCAGTATGGCCTATTTTTCTTGGATTTTGCTTGTTTGAAACTGCCAACAACAGTCCCAGTTTCTTCTTCTTTTGGCACTGGTGACTTCAATCCCATCTAGCCAGGCCAAGTTGCATTACGGGGATTTTGTAGATGACCCTAAAGCTGGATCTTACATTTGGTTCTGCTTTGTCACCATGTGACCATTTGTGCCATGTATCAAGGAAGATCATACTTTAGAGTCCATATAGTTTATCCATATAGTTTATCCTATAAAAAGCATATTAGAATGAACTTTTGGACTCAGATCCAGTACAGTTGATATAGTAAATTTTGGAGTTATAGTTTCCTACTAAAAGTTGCGGCGTAAAATCTAAAATAAACAAATACCATAATCAATAATTTTTTGCCTTCTCTTTGTCTCTTATATCTCTGTTACAGGAAACACTGATGTCGGTCCTTTGAATAAACTGCGTGCATTCCTTAGTTATCAGCACTGCAGGGAAAGTTTGAATCTTACTAAGGGCAAAACATACCTGATCATGGGCTCGTCCAAAGACATTCACATTGATGAGCAACAGCTGACGTAAGTTTTGTGAAGTGCGCATTTAGATACATTCTGTCCACTTAATATGTTCCAGTCATGCCATCACACGGCGTAATTGTCTCATTTCTGTCCCCAGGTACCAATACGTGCTTGGTGAGAGAACTTGGATTGAGTACTGGCCAACAGGCAGTGAATGTCAGCAGGATGAGTTCAGACCCGTGTGTCTGGGCATGGAGGAGATGGTTGATCAGTACACAACCTTTGCCTGTCAGCAGTAGCTAAACTCGAGGATGCGGTTCACCCTTTTTGGATAGTTTGGATTTTGCATTCTGCTTGTAAAACATTAAATGTGACATGTGGATATAAAATAAGAAAGGTCACACTGTTGATTAAAATTTCATGGTACGTACAAACGTTGACGTTGGTCTTCCTGTTTGACTATATATATTCCCATGGGAATGGCTTGTACCGGACTCATTACCTCTGACTCCAATAAGCAACAAACAAATGGTTGGATGAAAGGCCAGCCATCCCAAATACGGTCATTTGCCTTTTTTATAAATACAACTGAAGGATTATTTCAGCATAAACATGTTTGATACATTTTACTTGAAGGCAGATTACTATTATCTCAGAATTTCACACAATTCGAATAGATAGATTGATAAAAAAAAAAGACAACTGGATTAAAAACAAGCACCTTAGAGAGGAGGAGTCTCTCAGAAGTTAAGAGTTTGATTAATATGCAAAATACCAGATCTACTATTTGTGAAGCAATTAAAAAAAAACTCCATGAAAACTGAAATAACGCTAAAAAATAATAATAATTATATGTCATCTACAGCACAAACTCTTATTTAAAGATGTCGGCCAAATGAACGTTAGTTTCCTGCGAGCACTGGACCCTCAGTCAAAGCAAATGTGTATGTCTTAGAACTGTTTTGAAAAATAACAATCCTTATGTGAACTTTTGCTTTTATTGACCATTGACAATCCAGGTCAGTTTAAAATGAGCTGAAGAGTCTAAAAATCATGTTATGAAGTTACTGATTCACAGACCTGCACACAAGTTTTTACGAATTGCCGGGAAACAGTAGCTACATCTATTGATCTCAACGGGGCCCTTCTTGCTAGGATAACCTTATAATCAATTAAAAAAGATTCTTAGCAGAAACTTTAATCATCAGAGCAAGATCAGACAGGATTAGACAGGACTCTAACTACTCAGGTCTGATATTAGGAAGGCCATGCAGCATACAGATGTCTTGTAACGTTTTGTTGATGCGAACATTTCAAATACGTTCAGAAAAAGTGTCCCTAATCAGACAGTTTCCAAAAGACATTGATCAAGCAAAGTTCAAGCGGTAGACGGGTCCGATATGATAGCTCACAATGAAAATGTATTAAACCGTCCAAACACTTGTGAGGACACTACGACATTGTAAAGACAACACAACATTTTTAAATCAAACATCCATTTTATCATTGTACGTTTTTAAATTAAAGAATTTCCCACAAGGGATCAATAAAGTAATTCTGATTCTGATTACCTTTCTTATTTATTGCATTTTTAATTATTTGTAATAACACTTTGAATTTAAACATTCATAAATGCCAGAAAATAACAAACTGAAAACGAGAAGTTTCGGGGAGAAATGTCCCCTGAACATTGACAAGGAGGATGAATAATACACCAAACACACATCATACATTTATTTATTTCTTTAATACAAATTTAAGCTGTCAGTTAAACCCTCTCAATGGGAAGCAACAGAAAGTGAAGGAGGGGCAAACAAATGCAAGCAGATAAAAAGCTGACGCAGAGTGAGTCCCAACAGTCCCAGCAGACATGGGATCAAGTCGGAGGATGCCTTGGATCCAGATGTTGCTGTGGGGGGGCTTGTTGGCATTTGCCTTCATGATAAGCCCAGCTACTGCTGGAATGTAAGTAGCCCTGTTGTCCATTTCAACATATGAAACAAAATAATGAGCATTAACTGTGTACCAATAATTTTTGGTGTCTTTTTTTTCTCAATGCAAGGTAGGATGTATCCACATGCTTTTAGATGTTGCAGCCATTCTGACATGTTTCTGTGCTTTTTAGACTCAACCAGCTCTCATGGCAGAGTGTGCAAAAGCCTCTTTGTCGCATGACGCTGTTTGCCTTTAAACAATGATAGCATTCAGTATTTCAATCAATTTGTCCTTACAGATGACTATTGGTCAATAGTTTTATCACTTCTATCAATTTTATAACAAAATTTCTGACAAGACGAACAAACTTAATTCATATAGATTAACTTGATTAAGAAATTATTCAAGAGCAGGTTGTAACATTGAATCAAATGTCAAACCGTCAAATCAGTCGGTGAGATAAATCCACGCCTCACGTCTTCAGTAATCTAAGCGTAAAAGTGTGCAAAAAAAATAAAATCTCAAGATCTCAATAAAACCCCAAAATGATTTGCATTGCATTAAGAAATTGTTTGGATAAACTCAAAGAACTTATCAGTGAATTACGACATTGTTTTGCAGCGGTGCATTTCGACACAAACATCAAACACTGACGGGAAAAATGATGAAACAGTTTGTTGACCCACTGCTCAAACATAGTCAAGGTTGTTGATTTATACCCTGACCTTTTTCCCCTTGGCATCAGATGGAAAGAATTATGCCACATTTCAGACTTGGCCACTCTCTTTTGCTCCATTTGAGCAAGAAAGTTATCCAGGCAGTACGTTTAAAAACAGACATGTGGTCTGTGGTTATGTAAGAAAAAGTTCAATTTTTGGATAATGATCTTAATTGCAATTTTTTTTTTATAAGAGCATGAAAGAGGTAATATTCTTTTAATATGCTTTTTGAATTTGCTCCCTGGGAATGCATTCAAGCTTAAAGTATGAGCCCGCCTCCACGTAGCCCTTCTATTACAGGCATGTGAAGCCTGTATCAAACTATTTGTAACATTAATTAAAAAAGAGTTTTGAAAAACATCTGATAGAAAGTGAGTGAACAAGCAGTTCTACAAATTCTGTATGTGGTCTTTTCTCCAGTAAACTTATGTCTGCACCCAACCTGATGCGAGTTGGAATAGAGGAAAACATCTTTGTGGAGATTCAACACTGCGAGCATCAACATGACATCAATGTTGAAATCATGGTGAAAAATCATCCAACAAAAAGGAAAACCTTGAAATCAACAACTGTGACCCTCAGAAAGGCAGACAATTACCAGGGCGTTGGAAGACTGACGGTAATCCGCTGCTGTATCTCTCTGATGACCATGTCAAAGTTTTCTAAATGTTCTTATCACTCTTCAATTCAGAGCCATGTCCAATAAATGCACCTCTTCGACTATGAAATACCTAATTTGACCTGCTTTAAAACACTGCAGTAAACACTTCACACTTTGTACCCGTTTTCAGGTTCCTACAGAAGAATTCTCGAATGACGTCAATGCAAAGCAATATGTTTACATTCAAGCACAGTTCCCTGACGCACTGCTAGAGAAGGTTGTGATGATCTCCTTCCAGTCTGGTTACATTTTTATACAGACTGACAAGACCATATATACTCCTGCTACTAGTGGTGAGTCTAAAACAATATATATTCCTGAAAAGCTTTTCAAAAAGGCATGTCTCTGGAATTGCTGTCCTGCAGTAGGACAAGTAACACAGATCAAATCGGCCCCTTTTTCATAAGTTTCAGCATCTTTTTTTTTGGCAATGTTTTCTTTTATGCAACTGAACAAATAGAACCTTAGACGACAGATCAAGCTGACACAAGCATGCTTGTTTCTCTCTGTTTTTCTGACAGTCCGTTACAGGGTTTTTGCTCTAAGGCCTAGCTTGGAGCCGGTGGCTAGGGATGCTCAACAAAGTTCTGACACTTCAGTATTGATTGAAATTGAGGTATTGTTTTTGATATTTCATAAATATGTAAGAGGGTTTAGAGTTTAACTGCCTGTGAAAACGTGCTTGGCTTTACACAATACACCACATTGTAGCGTGACTCCTGTCAAAAAAGACAATGGAGAAATCAAATTATTTTAAATCCTATAATAGCACCGTACTGTAACAGAAAAGTTGGCTTAACTTTGATGACGAAATACAATAAATTGTCACTCTGATTGCTCAAGCTTGTCTCAAGTTGAATGTAATCATGTTTATTTTAGACTCCCGCTGGCATTGTTATAAAATCAAACAAATATTCAATGACTTCAGGGATCTACACTGGGGCTTATACACTTCCTGAAATTGTCAGGTGAGATATCTGCCATCATTGGAAAGTCTCAGAAACATTTCTATACTTGATTTTTCCCCCCTGTATATATCATTTGACATTCAATTTGTTTTGATGTTGCACACATGCAGTATGGGCCAGTGGAAGGTTGTGGCAAAGTTCGAAAACAACCCACAGCAAAGTTTCTTTTCTGAGTTTGAGGTCAAAGAATACGGTGAGTCTCCTTAAGCCCTTAAACCAAAGAAACATCTGTCTTTAGTAGATTGCACACACCTTAATGTGTATTATTTTACAGTACTTCCCTCTTTTGAGGTGAAATTGTCAACTCCACCTGAGAGCCCCTTTTTCAATGTGGAAAGCGACTCGCTTACCATTACCATCAAAGCTTCGTAAGTGAAGGATTTAATGTTCAAATTTGGGTCATACAAAGTACAAATACAAACTTTAATTGCTCTGTTTTTCTTTGTTTTTATTTGCAATTATTACAAATTTACCATTTTCTCTTGGATCAAGGTACGTTTTTGGTGAAGATGTGGAGGGGTCAGCCTATGTGGTATTTGGGCTCATTGGTGAGGGTAAAAAAAGAAGCTTTCCTGGTTCTCTTCAGCGGGTCCTAGTGAGTACTTTCTCCTGTGTGTGATTTGCCATGTTTGAATATGAGCTAAGGGCTGATTATGTGCAAGTTTCATTATGTTATGCCTGCAAAAACAACACTTGAACTCAAATTTGTATCCTCTGATATTAGTTATGGTCTAATGCTAAATCAAACGTGACATATTCAGAAAAAGAAAAAGCCATTAACAGACTGTTTGTTTTGAAAAATGACCTTATTAGATCAACAGAGGTAAGGGATCTGCCATTTTGAGGAAAGTGGACATCACACAGACTTTTCCCAACATCAACGAGCTGGTTGGGAAGTCCATTTACGTAACTGTCAACGTGCTAACAGAGAGTGGTAAGAAAAATATGCATTTTCTTCTCTTAAGTATATACAACTGCTAAAAACTGTTTTAATCCTCTGCCCTTTCAAAAGATAAATGGGTAACCTTCTGTTGTTTTAAATCAGACCTGTGTAGAGCGAATTGTCATATCGTCACATTATAGTCTTTGTTTGTGATGCAGAAGTGGAGCAGGGCAATGCACTTTTGTCCAGAGACTTTACTTTTTTTTTTTTTACAATCTCAAAAAACAGGTGGTGAAATGGTAGAGACAGAGCTAAGAAGCATCAAGATCGTCACATCCCCCTATACCATCACTTTCAAGCGAACATCCAAATATTTCAAACCAGGAATGTCCTTTGATGTTGCGGTACGATACACACCTATGTTCAAATTAAACGACAGCACAATTTAGAAAAAGAAAACCAAGCTGAATTCCTGTTTTAAATGATGGTTTAATGAGTGCATTAGAAGTTAGTGACTGTCTTAAAGTTGCCCTTTCATTCTTTTTTTAATGGCAGGTTGAAGTTGTGAATCCTGATGATTCTCCGGCCAAGGGTATTCCTGTAATCATCAACCCTGGAGGGGTGTCGGCTGTCACCAGAGACAATGGGCTTGCCAGGCTTACCATCAACACTGTTTCCAATGCTGATCGCCTGAGCATTACAGTATGATATTTCAAAATCCTGCTGACTTCAGAAGTTGAAGCTTGAGTCTTATCAAGTGTGATCAGGGTTTAACACAAAAAAAGCACATGCTCATTTATTGCACACCCCAGTCTGTTCCTGAAACAGGTATTACAGCAAACGCTCTGCATAGAGTAACACTTTTAAGAGAAACAGACAATGTGTGCTGGGGAGTCTCTACTCAGACACGCCACCCATGGTCATTTCTAGGATCGTCAGCTTGGTTTAGCTTGTAGTCTCACCAGTTTATGTTTTTTTAACTTTCATGGTCTTGGTATCAGTTACTATTTTGTATTTTCGTGGCCGCGTCTCAGCGGGAAAAGCGGTCATTTTTGCAAGTTGGGAATGAAAACATGAAGTCATTTTTAAACTAAACACAGCACATGTTTTTTTCAGATTACCACTTCCTGAATTCACTTCTCTTCCGTTTTCTGTGTATTTCATGACAGGCAGAGACCACACACCCCGGTCTGTCCCCCAGTAGACAAGCCAGGGCTTCTATGGATGCTTATCCATACAAGTCCCAAAGCAACAGCTTCCTTCACATAAGTAAGTCCTGAAATATGGAATGAAGAATTACTGTGAAAGTGCGGCCTGAAACTATATAGTGAGCCACAAATTGTGAAATGTGTTTGCAGATGTGGATACAGCTGAGGTGGCGTTAGGAGATGACATGAAAATTCTCTTCTTTATTAGCTGGCCAGACAATCAGCCAAAAGACATAACATATCTGGTGAGAGCTATTTGTTTGTTGATATGCATGATTCAGTGATGTTGCGTCAGTTGGATAATTACTAATTAGTAAATCTATTTCCCAGGTCCTGAGCAGAGGCCAGATAGTCCAAAATTACCGTTATGTTAACAAAGGTCTACAGCAGATTTCCCGCTCAATTCGAATAACCAAAGAAATGTTGCCGTCATTCCGCATTGTGGCCTACTGCCATTCAAACTCTGGTGAACTGGTTTCAGACTCTGTCTGGATCGACGTAAAAGACTCATGCATGGGAACGGTGAGAGACACAACACCTGACGTCCACCGGCAAAACTATAGTAGTCGACACAAAGGAAAAAACTAACAGTTTCAAGGATTTGTAAAGTTTTACTTGTCATCTTCAACGAATACATATATATTGTTTCTGTTTTACTGCTTTATTTCTCATTCTCTTAGCTGAAGCTGGAAACAGTGAAGCCCGCACGGTCCTATGAACCCGGACAGTCATTCGATCTGAAGATCACAGGAGATCCTGGGGCCACAGTGGGACTGGTGGCAGTTGACAAAAGTGTCTACGTCTTAAACAGAAAAAACCAACTCACGCTGAAAAAGGCAATTTCTTTGATAATTATTTGTTCTTCAGTTATACAGTTTTATCAAGTTGATTAAAATGAAAGAATCTCAAGTCTATGTGAGGAAGCAAGCAAGTCGAAATGTAACTTTCAACTGCAGCAAGGAGAAATAAAAAACAACAACAAAAACAGAAATAGCAATAAAATATTGCTGTCTGTTTTTGTGTCCTTGCATTATCAGATATGATGATTTACTCCTAGAAAAGCGAAGATGCGTTGAATGACACAAACATTTTAACCAACACACGTACAGTCTTATGTTGCTTTGAATCGAGTGGAAAAGGGAAAGTTGAAACAACAGAAAGTGCAGCTTTGTTGATGTGGCCCAATGATGAATGGCATTCATGGAATACGAACATTAATTTATATCTTGCTTTTATGAACCTTGTCAGTTTACAGATTACAACTCAAAAATACATTAGGGATAGGTTTAGGGTTAACTGTGACTGTTGGTCAGTCCAATAGTTCCCTTTGATTTAGACCACCATGCATATTCTTTTTTGAGTTCCTTGAGCTTTCACTGTTATGTTCATTATTTACAGGATAAATGTGTTTATATTTCGGAATGTGAGCGATCTCCTTGTTTTCAGATTTGGGACACAGTGGAGAAATATGACCCGGGCTGCACGTCAGGAGGAGGGAAGGACAACATGCATGTGTTGTACGACGCAGGGCTGATTTTACAGACCAGCACAGGCTCTGGGACGCCCTCCAGAACAGGTGAAACCGGTTCTGTTTTACGTTTGTGTTCTTCAAAAAGGTGTCTGGGTTGTGAAGACCACACATCACATTTGACTGTAGTGATGAGAACCCAATTGATTTTTTTCAACATGTCAATAAAAGAAAAACTGCAGGTGTCATTAAAGGATGTTGTTGCAGTTCTAGCTTTGAAAAATGATTTAATGATATTTTGAGTTTTCATCATAGCTTGGAACTCAATTGTTTTATCCTATTTTTGACTTGTGATGGAGGATGCTCTCCTTGTCTTACAACATAGTGATTCATAATCTGTTTTGCAACTCATTCTTAATTTATTAATAATCTTGTATTCGATTTTAATTCCCACAGTATCAACATGCAAATGTATGACTATCAAATAATGTCACGTAGAAACTCAAATGTTAGGTGAAAATGTCTGTCAAGTACCTATGTTGATTTATTGGGTAAATAACCTGTTCAAGCAACATTTTTGTTGTGGTTTTAAGATACAAAGTAACTAATGACAGACACATAGGTCCTAGACAAACTGGCAGGGAAGGCGTGCAGAGAATGAGATGTATATGCATGGGGGAGGAAAGGAGGACAAGCAGTGAAGATACCCGAAACAAAGCAAAGCTCAAAATGCACAAAAAATACAGGAAATACACAAAGAAAACATCGCAAAAGTGTGCACACAGAAGACAAAACATACAGACCCCATGAATGTGGACAACTTGAGTGTGAACATTTGAATAAGTTGAATGTCTAGTTGGTATGATGTATATATTTGAGCCATAAAACTCAATAAAATTGTTTATACCTTCTCTATTCTGTTTAATCGATGGCTCATTTTGTATTTCCAGAATTGTCGTGTCCATCTCCCAGCAGGAGGAGACGAGCCATTACTATAATGGATGTCAGAACCAGCTTGTGTAAGAATAACCTCAAAAGTCCAAATATCCACACATTTAATGACTAACATCGACTTGATACCTTATGTGTACTGGGTGTGCAAATCTAAAGTACCCAATAGTATCAGGGCTCATTTTCCACAGCTACACAAATGATTGATGTAAGATCTTTAGCTCTAGTTTTAGTGTCATTTTGTCTGCATTTGAATTTCTCTTTGCAATTTGTCTTGTGTAGGACTAGTTAATCCATGTTAAAGCTTTTCATGAACGGTAGGTTGTTTTTTTACTCAGAAAGTCAGTGTACTGGGATCAAGAATCATTTATGATTTTTTTTGTTTTGTTTGGGTTGGGATTGTGAGAGGAGGGAGACATATGGTGAAGATAGCAATGAAAATACGGCCCACATGATTTGAGGGCCCCCCAGGGGATGATAAATGGACAGCCTGCTTTGTGAGGTTAATCCATCTCAGGGTTTTGTGAAAATTCACTGATAAAATTCTGCTTCTTGTGTACATCAGAATATTTTAAAATCAACTGCAATGTTTTTCCATCATTTTTAGAAATTTGTGCTGCTAAAGTAATGTTTGACTATTTTTGCTTCTCTCCACCTAATGTTGTTTCCACATTATTATTTCTTGTTAGTAAGTAAATATGAAGACCAGGAACAGAGAGAATGCTGTTTAGATGGTATGAGGGAAGTCCCTGTTTCGTACTCTTGCAAGAGGCGCACTGAGTACATTGTGGATGGTAAAAATTGCGAAAATGCCTTCCTGTTCTGCTGCGAGGAGATGCAAAAACATCAAGATGCAAAAAAGGACGAAGTCCTCCACCTAGCTCGCAGTAAGTGGCTGTGAGGGGGATGGGGGCTGTTTTAATTTCTACTTAAAAAACAAGAGCTGCTCCCTATGAAGAACATGCCTTTCACAACTTCCTTAGGCGAGGAAAACGACGGATATTTGGGCAAGAGTGAGATAAGGTCTCGGTCATATTTTCCCGAAAGTTGGCATTGGACTGACGTCAAGCTGGAAGCTTGCCCCTCAGGAAGTCACAGCTGGTAAGGACAGCATGAGGAAACAGGGCACGAAAGAACAATTTCTCCCATATATTTTCCCATTATTTTGGATTGAGCCTAACTTTCCTTTCAGTGGGACCAAGACATTTGAGCAAAGAGTTTATGTGCCTGAATCAATCACAACCTGGGAGCTGACCGGCATAAGCCTTTCAAAAACTCACAGTAAGCGTTGTTCATCTGCTTGACATACTTCTATCAATACTTTTATTTACAATGATTTAAGAACAATACGCATATTTTGTCCTAGAACTTTTTTTGGGGGCAAATGGAAGTCCCTCTTTGACTCAAAACCTTAGTAGAGTAAAACCATGAATTGAAAATTATCATTGCAAATGTTCATAGACTGTTCATTTGGATTTCAACATTACTGATGTTTCTTCACGTTGCTTTGTATCAAATGCTTTTCATTTTATTTGATTTTTTCTGCTTCGATCTAAGGCATCTGTATTGCCGAGCCATTAGAAGTTGTTGTCTGGCAGCAATTCTTCATTGATCTCAGGCTGCCATATTCTGCCGTCCGAGGAGAGCAGCTGGAAATCAAAGCAATCCTGCACAACTACAAATCCGAAGCTATCACGGTGAGTCTCTTTTTTTAGTGATGGTCCAGTTTTTAAAAAAAAAATCATTTTCAGAACCCGTTTTTTTCTTAGTTTATGTTTTGCTGTTAGCCTTTCTACATCTCAGCAAAATATTTAGACGCCTGATTTCTACATTTCCAGGTCCGCGTGGAGCTGAAAGAAGAAAAACATGTGTGCAGTGGAGCCTTTAAGAAAAACTGGTTTGTAGAGGAGGTTATAGTTGGAGCTGAAACTACAAGATCGGTGCCTTTTATCATCATTCCCATGACCCTTGGAGAAGTTCCTATTGAGATCAAAGCTTCTGTTAAATACGGACAATACGGTGATGGAATCAAGAAAATGCTTCGTGTCGTGGTAAGAGGGGAATATGAAGCAGTGTTAGATCCAAGTCCTACAAAATTCTTTATGAGCTATAACATTCATTTAAACTAAATATATTTGCATCTCACTTCGGGCTATTGCAAAGCATCTTTATTGATTTAAGATGTGTATTTAAGATAGATAGATAGATAGATAGATAGATAGATAGATAGATAGATAGATAGATAGATAGATAGATAGATAGATAGATAGATAGATAGATAGATAGATAGATAGATAGATAGATAGATAGATAGATAGATAGATAGATAGATAGATAGATAGATAGAAAACCAAAATTTGAAAACAAATAAGTATACAAATAAGACTTTTTTTCATTGCAAAAAATAATTATCAATAGAATTAAACATTTTCAACATTTTAGATGCAAATGAGATTGTGAGAATTCTTAATGTAAATTAATACATCCATTTTTTACATCCATTTTTTAAAAAATGCACTGCAATAAGCTAAGTGCATTGCTTAGCTTATTCTTGTGGGCATGTTTACTATTATTTCAATCTTGTGTTGTAATCATAGTCTATCTTTTGTCTGGCCTCTGACTGAATTGCATTGATGCATTGCATAAAAATCCCTTGAGGTTTTATTGTTCACATGTGAAAACAAAACAAAAAAGAGACAATGTATAAATGGCACGGTTTAATGCAGAGTAGGTTAATGATTCTGTGGTATCTGAAAAGAAATTTGAGGTAAACCTCTAAGTTTGATTCATAAGAAAACAGGGCTATGCAAATGTGGTGTGATGGTTTGTAGAGAAATTTCATGCCAAGTATTAGTAGTAAAGTTTTCTGATCTGATGATGAGTTTAGTGAACAATAATGCTTTTGATTGAGACTATCAGTAAATACTGAATGAATAAATTTAGTGATATTGATATAGATAATAGGGAGCAAAAGCTATCATTTTTATCACAAGAGACAGCATCTATTTTTCTTACTTGTTTCCTTTTTTTTTCAGTCTCCGGGTGTGCTGGTCAGAAGTGAAAAGAGTGTAAAACTGGAACCTGGCAGGAGAGGTGTGTGAGAAGTTACAGCAAGCTAAACACAGAACAACCACAACCAAAAAAGGGTTATTTCATGCTATTTGTTTGTAATTATGCTTTCGTATTGTTTCTTTTTTTAGGTGGTACGCAAGTGGAAGTTATCAGAAGTGACATTTCAACAGGAGATATGGTTCCAAACACGCCCTCAAACACATTGGTCTCTGTGACAGGTGAGGCCAACAGTTATGCTTTAACTCCAAATTCATAAGGGGCTCTGAGGTCAAAGAAAAACAGACCTTGATTGCTACTGATTTGCAATTTTCAGCAGGTAAGTTGCATGTTAAGGAGACAGAAGAGTACCCAAACATTTAATACAAACAATGAGCAGAGACTGGAAGGAGAGAACTGATTTATATCTAACAGATTAGATACACTAATTTAAGAGTACTGAAACACCAAAGATCTTTAAACATGTTTGCCAGAACTGAACAAGAGTGTGCGATAGCGATAGGTCCAGTCACAGGAAGTAACAGGAAGCATGGACAGTCTGCAAAGGTTCATTCTGAACATCATTTTTGCACCACCATTCCGGTGTATAAAACCTCATGCTGAGGTTGATAAAGTAATCCTTTGCATCACAAGGTGTCAAATTTATTCATTAAATAAATTCAATATGTTACATTTAAACACCTTTACAGAAGTATAAACGTATCACCAATAAACTCATCCACATGTTGTTATTGTTAAGTTTTATTTTAAAGATGATTGGGCAGATTCTTTTTTTAAGTTGCTGGTCAGGGTAATTGTAAATATAGAAATGGTTGAAATGGCAAATTTGGTGTTTCACACGTTTCAGAAAACAACCATTGATGACACAAAGTGGTGGAGTTTTTAACTGTGTGGCCATTAAAGTGCTTGAAAAAGCACTTTTATCTTTGTTGATAGAGATTGTTTCATTGGCTGTGTGGGGTCTTCTCTCTGTGTTCACTCAGGACGAGAGCAAATGAGTACACTGTTGGAGCATGCCATCAGTGGGGAGTCTATGGGTAATCTGATCAGGCAGCCCGCAGGATGTGGAGAGCAAAACATGATTCAACTGACCCTTCCTGTCATTGCAACCGTTTACTTGGACAAAACCAACCAGTGGGAACTTGTGGGCTTTGAGAGGCGCAACGAAGCCCTGCAGCACATGGCAACCGGTAAGCTGTGTTTATCAGCACTGATACCACAACCTCATGCTAGCTCAATCATATCAAATATGTTGCAGTAAAAATGTTACTTGCCACATTCTTCTACTTCTCTTAAAACCACTATCCGTGGACTGAAATCTTTGGTTCTGTGCAGGTTATCAGACAGAACTCACCTTCCGTAAAAACGATGGGTCGTTTACTATTTTTCAACACTGTAAAAGTACAACCTGGTGAGACTACACCAACATTTATGAGCTTCTACTCCTACTTCTTTATTCTGAGAAATGGCAAAATATCAAAGGAATTAGTCACTGTATTTAAGATGTAGAGAATAACTTAGGTAAACCATAGTGAATAATTAAACAGTGAAACACTTCATTTTACTTACTCTGCTTTCCAACTCTTTTTGTCTTTATTTTAAGGTTGACTGCTTATGTTGCCAAGGTGTTTGCGATGGCCTATGATTTTGCGATAATCAAAGTTGAAATTATTTGTGAGGCCATCAAGTTTATGATTCTTCGCACACAGCAACCTGATGGACAGTTTGTGGAAATTGGAGATGTGTACCATAAAGAAATGATTGTAAGTGAAGAGACTTAATTGTGTGTTTAAAGATTGACTTACACACACACACACAAACACCTCACAGAAAACTGTTTTTTTTGTGTTCACATAGGGGGATGTGGGTGGACTGGATACAGATGCCTCAATGACAGCTTTTGTCCTGATTGCCATGCAAGAATCAGAAAGTTTATGCTCAAGCACTGTTGGTGTAAGTATTGCTTTGGATATCAACTAGCCAACTCTAATCACACATAGAGATTCTTGAAAGTTGGAGAGAATGTTTTCATTTTTAAATAAATATACTTTTGCTAATGCTAGTCCTAAATTAGAATTCTATTTCGATCAACGTTTTTCCTTGGACTCAAGCTATTGAAAGGGTGGATAGGCTCTCAATGTCCTGATAACCTCATGTTGTTTGTTTGCCGTCCTCGCTTGCAATGTAAGGATAACTACTCCCAAAGATCGCAAACAAAAGAGCTAGATCTTGACCCTTCATATCTCTGCTTTGACACTTTATGTTCTCATGGAGTGTCTTTGTCTTCTGCGCAGAGTATGCCAAACGCCATATCTAAAGCAACGACCTATCTGGAGAGGCGCCTGCCTCATCTCACCAATCCTTATTCTGTTGCAATGACATCATATGCCCTGGCAAAAGCTAACAAAATGAAGAAGGAGATCCTCTTCAAATTCGCTTCCCAAGGTTTGTCCTCATGATATTCCGAAAACTCTCAAATTACATCAGTGTTTAATATATATAGATAAAAAATATATACAGGAATTGTCGAGTCATTGTGCAGCAAATTTTGCCAGTAGTGAAAACACGTTTGTTTCCTGAACAGACCGAACCCACTGGCCCGTTGCAAAGGGAGACATTTTCACACTGGAGGCCACAGCTTATGCTCTCCTTGCACTTGTCAACGTCAAGGTGATCACGTTCGATTTAATTATTCACTTATTTATACATTTTCTTGTAGCTTTTGTGCATGCAGGCAGATCAGGCAAGGACCATGATTACATTCAAAGTACGCACCCCTTGCATCCCTGAGTCCAAAAGAGTCTGGACGATAAAAAAAGTAGTGTACATGTAGTGTTGTAAAAAAGATTTTTTGGGACGGTTTTGTTTTTTAGCCTTTTTTGTTTCTGATGGATCCAAAACTGATTTTCATTCAACTCTTGCAGTCTCATGGTAGAAAGCCCAGCATTCAACCACTCCAGCCAGCCAGGCTTTTTTCTCCTAATGTGATCCTTGTGGCCTGTTTCTTTATAGACTTGACTGTAGTGTTACCTTGGCATGGACATGTTTATTTCGAGAATAATGAAAGCTTCAATCAGCAAACTATAGAAATGACATTTCAGTAAGAGTTATCAAAGTCACCAATGATCACTATTAACATGAATTGCTAAAATGATTAACAATGCAAGGTTATCAACCCTTAAATGATGATCTTAGCATTTCAAAGGCCAATGGTGAAAGGAAATACACTCAGACTTATTCAATAAGATAACCTTAGTTTTGTTTTGTTTTTTTAATTTTATTCCTGCTGTCAAAGGCCTATGCAGAGGCTAAACCTATTGTGAGATGGCTGAGCGAACAGAAGAAAGGAGGTGGAGAATATGGATCAACTCAGGTAACAAATTAGTCTTCCTGTATTGTGTGTGTAAATGCAGTTTTTAGAAACCATGTTGCCGTCATTTGTTGAGAAACATTGTCTCAAGCTTTTGATCATATCTCCCTCTTCAGGCTACTATTATGGTGTACCAGGCTGTAGCAGAGTACTGGGCAAATGCCAATGAACCAGCATATAAGCTCTCTGTGGATATGAAGTTACCAGGAAAGAACCTGATTGACAAATACAGCTTTGACAACAATAACCACTACACAACAAGGACATCTAAGGTAAGAACCTGTGCTTTTTATTTCTCTAGTTGAAAACCTTATTAACTGAGTCAAGCAAAGTTTGATGAGGGCTGCAGTCATCCAACAATGGTACAAACACGACAACACAAAGCTTGACACCTGGTGGCCACACTTGCACAGCAGGTGGAATCAAATTTTTAGGCTTTGAGTTTTCAATCAGTTTTTTTTTTTTTAATTGTCATCGTTGTTTAGAATCTTACAAAACCTGCAATGATACATGCAATGAGACATTTGTTACAATAAAACATTCAAATTTTTCGAATACAAAAATCAAACAACAAAATTCAGTTGATTTGAGTATTACTGAATGATTTTTAAGCGATCACTGCTTTAAATTGAAGTTGTGTCCCTCCATGATTCAATTTAGTCTGATGCACATTCATTCATGGCAGATTTCAAAGATAATCAGCCAGAGTATCATTTCAAGTTTTGCAACATTTATAGGAATTACTTCCTACAAAGTGACATATCCTGCATTGCATGATGCAAACTTCTTAATGCAATGTTATTTCTGTCCAAATACAAAACACAAGATGAATGCTTCCAATTGAACCTTGGAAATGAAAACATTCTGTTCAATCAAGTACCAATCCTTTCCTTTAGATAGTCTGTGGAAACAGTGTCCAATATAATAGTCCTTTTTTTGGTTTCCAGAAATATGTGGCTCTATTTGAAATGTTTCCTGGAGTGTTTCCTGGAGTGTGTTTATATCTTTGAATGTGTGTGTAAATGACCATTTTTTCCCTTTAAATTTTACAGTTTCAAGGTATTAACAAGGATATAGAATTGACTGCAAAAGGAACAGGGGAAGGAATGTTTAATGTAAGTATGAAACAACTAAAACATTTGGTAGTTTTTTCACAAATGTCAAGACTGTAAATACAATAAAAATGTAACCGGACTGTAATCATAAAATTTGTTTTCCAATAAATATACTTTTTATGACAGCCAAAAGCATTCTAGATGCATCTTCCACATGGCAAGTAATTATTTGTAAGTTTTTAATATCAATATTGATCCGGGTTGCCAGGGATACTGGCAACAGATCCATTGATTTTACATTCTGGCTGGACCCTGAAATAGGAATGCCACAGGGAACGGGTTGATTGTACCTGAAGTGATGATTGTATGAAGCAGACGGCCCAGGCGTTTTCGCCTTTCGTTTGTATCCTTGATCAGCAAATCTGGTCAAGTCCACCTTGATGTGGTATCTTTCTGATGAATCTCCTCCCTGATTGATAAACTGTCTGTTTCCCAGAGGCAGATTGAAAGTGTCCAGCACAGTTGTGTGAGGACTGGCAGTTTTGCTGTATATTATTCTTAGATTCTAAAAATAATGGTCATTTGCTTGGCTCAAAATGATTTTCCACATAAAATGGAGGACCTTGATCCGGCCAGTATCCTTCCTATGTAAGATACATTTTGCCTTTTTTGTTCTCCAGATGGTGTCACTGTATTATGCCATGCCTAAAACTCAGAAGAAAGATTGTGAGCGGTTCCACCTGGCTGTGGAGCTCATCCCAGGTCATTTTGTCCCCGTAAATTCCTTAAGTTGAAGCAGTTTTTAGTCATAGCAAATTTTGGCTGGTACTGTGTCATATATTCAACTGTTCTCAAAGCTAAACTGCTGCTCCATAAATGTTTTGATTCTGCAGATACGATCACAGAGGAAAAGAGCATTTACAAGCTGAAAATAGAGTTTTAGTAAGTACCATCAAAATTGATGTTGAATTAAAAAGCCAGTATTTTCTTATTTTCATAAACCACCATAATATATTATTGTACTTTGGATTAAGAAATATATACATTTAAGGTTTTAACAACAATAATGTTTGCTGGTCTTAATCATTTTATACATTTATAAACACTCTATTTTTTAATTTATCATCATTCCCCAAATGTTTATATATCCATTGGCACCGTATTATCTATTTCTGTTTGCAGCTATAAGCACAAGGAACGAAATGCATCAATGTCAATCTTGGATATTGGATTACCGACTGCCTACATTTTTAACAAAAATGACCTGGATGCAGTAAGACATGCACACAAACCTACCATATGAGACATGGACATTCACTTAAATATAACTTATCAATGCTAATAAGCTATTTTCAACTGTTGTGTTTGTGTAGTTATCTAAGGGACGAGACCGCTTGATCTCTAAATATGAGATGAACAATGCTCTGTCAGAAAGAGGCTCCCTCATCATTTACTTGGATAAGGTAAGATGCTGTCTTTGTTCACATTCAAGTTAAAAAATGATAAAACCATATTTAAACGAAAACAAGGATTTGTTCTAAAACTCATATTCGTAGATGCATAATACATCAACTAGGCATCAAACAAACAAAAAAACAAACAAGGCAAGACAAGACAAGACAAGACAAAGCGTAGGTATATTTCATGTACAAGGTAATTCAAAGTGCTTCACGAAGAATTTAAAAGCAGAAAAACAAGAAAAGAAAAAGAATCAACAATAAGAAAAACGAGATAGATAAAAAGTGAAGGGTGCAGATAAGATACATTCAGTTTCCATATGCACAGTTAAACAGAACCGTTTTCAGCCTAGATTTAAATATTGTCAGAGTTGGGGCCTGTCTCACGTATTCGGGAAGACAAACACAAGAAATAAATCAGTGTGAATAAAAGATTTAAGCACAAACCAGGATCAATCCCAATTTCCAACTGTCATTTGAATTCAGACCTGACTACAATATGTTCATAATCAATTAGTTGCACAGAAAACTGAACAGCGCTCTCCTGCCGCTAATAAAAAGAATCCCCTACATTCACGCTGTACCTTCATCGGTTGCTTTTTCATAGGTGTCCAACTCACGGCCGGAGGAAATCTCCTTCAGGATCGAGCGGGTGATGAAGGTTGGTGTGTTGCAACCAGCTGCTGTCTCAATCTATGAATACTATGACAGTAAGTCCCTTAATACTTTCTGCTCATTATGAATCTCAGCCATTTACAGAGAAATCCTTTTACCGTTTCCAAATTAAGAGCAATTTCTGATCCTTCAACTTTTTGGTGGAGCAGGTTATTTTGCTTTGATAACAAGTAAAACACAAGTGGATTCTTCATACAAATGGATATGTGTTTTAATCCTATAGTATGTCAGCTCTAAACATGAAAAAAAAACTCCTTCTATTGCAGAGAAACACTGTGTGGAGTTTTACCGTCCTGAGCGAAAAAGCGGAGCGCTGGAGAAAAGATGTACAGAGGATGCATGCATTTGTGCCGAAGGTAACAAAGCAACCTAAACTAAAACCTTAAACAAATACAAATGACATTATGAGTGACTTACATCAAGAAATCTGAGTCTGACTGAGGCATGTAAAGGAAACATTTTTATATTCGTATAAATGTTGGAAGATGTGCATAGTTTACAGCAACAAAGGCACAAATCCAGATGCCCGCGAAGGCATTGCTTTTTTAAGAAAGATAAAGCTAAGCGTTTATGTTTGCTCTTTTCCAATAAGTGACATGTCAATTGCTTCTTTGTTCAATCTATATTTCCAGAGAGTTGCTCAAGGCAGAAAAAAGATGATATCAGAAATGAAGATCGTACTAAAAAAGCTTGTGAATCCACTTCTACCAGCAAAATAGATTTTGGTAAGAGCATATTTGTTTGTGAATGAGTATATCTAAAAACCCGACCGTTAACAAACTTAAACCTTTCTCCTTTCAGTTTATAAAGTGCAGGTGGAACATTATGAAGACGCTTTGAGTGTTGACGTTTACAATATGCGGATTCTAAATGCCTTTAAGGAAGGTGGGTATGATTTTCAGAAAGACCTTTTCTTGACGGATTAAATTAGAGTTCCATGATTATGTATTGAGTGCAGCAGTATTACCCCTCTATTTTTCTTGCAGTTTCTCTTCTTCAGATACTTAATACTTTTTTTGTGTTTTTCATTTCAGGCAGCACTGATGTCGGTCCAAAAGATCAACTACGCAAATTTCTCGTCCCTCAGCACTGCAGCAAAGCTCTGGATCTGCAAACCGACAAAACCTACTTAATCATGGGCTCATCATCAGATATTTACATACATGAGAACCAGTAAGTTTGTTGTGTGGCGTAACTCTTGTTTGTGAATACTAAAACACTCCTTGAGTTTATTTGGTGTATTAATACCAAAAAAATAATGCATAATTACATGGGGAAAAAAAACCTAGAGAGCCCATTCCAGGAGACGATGGGCAAAAATGATGTCTACTGATGTGTTGAATTCCAAAAAACGCTGGAAGCACATCAAGTTAGATTTTTCTTATTTTTAAATTCCTTGCCTTTTTCACACCATCTTTACGTTCAGTTCCCTTTTTATATGAATCATGGCTATAGTATCCCTTTAACCTCTATATCCAAGGCTTTGATACAGTAATTCTAACATCAAATTACCTGCCCATTAGTATTGACTAATCAGCTGCAATATTACATTTTGCCTGAGATGACATTACACAGTGATATTCGCTGCTCATTCAATACATATTTCATTCTGCACTGCCCAAAATGTAGGGAAACGAATATTAAAATGATTGTACAGTTAAACCATAAAATGTTAAATGCTAATTTCAGAATAAGCTTGAACATATACTGGTGCTATTTCTGAACTGCAGTCTGATCGGCAAAATCGTTCATCAAGATAAATCAGTGCCTTTTCCAAGTGAATCTTCCAGAAGAAACGGTCAGGGATAAGCCCTCAGTAAGCTTGATTTGCTACATTAAAATGGATTAGTAAAATGTGGTTCGTTTTAATGTTACATGGTTTCTTTGTCCGATAAACCACACCGTCCCACACCAGCTGTAACGCAGTAACACCTTTAATCTGAGCTCATGTGCAATTTCTTCCCGCCATTGCAGCATGTTATAAACAGCAAAAAAACGTTTTGTTTCTTTTCTCTGTTTAGGAACCAGTACATTGTGGGTGAAAAGACCTGGGTCGAGTACTGGCCCACCGGACCAGAGTGTCAGGATCCGCAGTACAGGCCTACTTGTAAGGGCATGGAGCACCTTGTTGAGCAGTTTGAGCTCTTTGGATGTCAGCTCTAGTGATGCGAAAGTTTAAAAAAAAGAATTAAGAAAGAAATAAAGATTTTAATTTTTTTTTTAATTCCATTCAGAATTTTGTTCTAAAGCCAGTCTTTAATTTGTTTAAAGCAAACATTGCAAGCTTTTCTTGAACACACATCATCCGTACCATTATTAACATTAAGTGTTTTAAATTCATGGCATTCAGACTTTGGTCACATTTTGGACTGACATCGATGTAGAAAGTCATGGTAAAGGCAACATATTTGCAAAGATAGATAAAGCTTTTAGCTATAAAAAATAATCTTACAAAATACTACAATCATGCTTTTAACAGATGTTTTTAGCCAAGCAACTGAATACTGATACTGAATTGTGGGGTGGTGAGAAAGTATGATCATTTTCAATGTGACTGAACATTTGTTGTCAAAACATATTAGTACTTTCTTAATTGTAATGGTTTATGAGCACTCTGATATATTAGAAAAGGTTGTTTTTCAGATAAATGTTATCTCCCAGACTGGTGTTGTTGTTTCTGCCTTTACCAACTTCTAACCAGCAAGTGTGTCAGGAAAGGCCCAGGCCCAAACAGTTTTGATCTATCTAAGCCCCACAGAACATCAACGACAAAATATGTTGCACCAAGCAACACGATGCGGCCTTTGGGTGTTTTGATGACGCTGTTGTTTGGTCAATGTAAAAGTAACATCCAGCCTGTAACACTGTCCCCAACCATGTGTAATTCCTGTACGATGTGTAAGTCTTGTACGCAGCTGCTTACCAATGTAGAAATAATATTTTCTCATTTAAAAACCAAGATGTTATCAGAGAAAAAGAATATTAGTATGAAGCTTTAGACTTTAAGATTGTTAAAGAATGATTTAATTCACAAAAATACATTAAAAAAAATACCTTGCACCCATTGTCAAGTCTTTCTTCCTCTTTTTCGCTTCAGAAAACTGTTTTAACTCAAATTTTGAATAATTTCTATGACAAAGGCCAAGCAAACCGCAAACAAAATAGTAAAAGATGATAAATGTGAATTCACAATTCCATGCCAGTGCATTGTGAAAATAACAGTTTTATATGAAAAAATATTTCATGGCAGCACCAATTTCCAAGAGAGTTTTGAAGAGGCAATCTGAAAAAGTAATGCGAAAATAAATAAATAAACAGCCTAACATTAATTGTTAATATCTTTGTAACAAGTATGTGATTTAAATTGGAGATTTGGGGTTCGACCCAACAAGGCCATTCGAGGCCTCGAACAGTAACTGCCATCACCAGACCTGTTAACTGAATAAACCTATGCACCGTTTGTAATATAGATGCCAAACGATCCCTTGGATAGAAAAAAATTATTTAGCCATTAGTCAATAAAACATGATTGGCTAACAGCAGTTTAGTTTGCAGTGTTTCCAAAATCAGTATTTGCTATGAGAGGTACATTTCCAGTAAACTGCTTCACACAGTAGCACTCTTAAACAGCCAAAGTAAACAGTTTTCTGTTAAACAACAAAAATATTTAGCAATCTAACATCAGACTTTAGTCAAGGTCACTTATCTGTGACCCAATGTTTATAGATATACTGAAGCCAAAAGAAATCTGGGAACTTTCTGTTTTTTTCTGTTTTTACCACACTCTGTAAACAAAGCTTGACCACACTTAAGCAACTTTTATAGATACACTGTATGAAATATCCACATTCGAAAGACTGAAATCCACATCTGTGACTCAAATTAGACTAACAGACTCTTTCTGCAAGAAGATTTAGTTTTATTATTTATTATCTATTTATTATTATTTATTTGTATATCTAGACTGAAACAAAAATACATTTACTTTCCACAAAAATATGCAAAACTTAACGTTCTTCTGCAAAAATGAAAAAAAAAATCACATTGTTACTGTTAATCTGGGATTGTTGGGCTATGATTTATGTTTATGCGCTTGAACATCCTCGTGTCATGTCTGTCGTCATTAATAACGCTATTGGTGCATATCATTGTGTTGTAATTGTGTTGGCCTGGTGAATAAAAAAGATTATGGACTCTCCTGTTTAACTAAAATTTAGATACTGTGGTCTCCCTTTGTACTTTCTATGTCTCCGTCAGATCAGGCTTAACTGTGTATAAATGTGTATTAATGCTTACTTTCATTTAGATTTGTTGAATTTACTGGTGAATATATGTGTGACATTTTTAATACATCGTGGAAAATCAATAAATCACAGGATATGGGCCCTCTATAGCCTTTAAAAAAAAAAAAAAGATACCAGAAACTGCTTGGAGTTAAATAAAGTGTCTCCTCCCAGCTGTGCTGGATGTACCTGCCATGAGAATATATGTTACATGTTTGACAACCTATTTCCACAGCTGGAAATAGGTTGTGCCAATATTTACTAGCTGTCTGGATAAGGTTTAGGTTAAAGCACAGCACAGATCACTGCTCATCTCAAAGTACATTCAGGGTATAATTGCACTGAGGAATTAGTAATGAAAGTACTTTCAATTAGTACTAGCAATCTTTTGCTTGACTTGAAGAATAACTCAAATGTGTGATCCGTAATGAGTTCTGGTATAGAATAATTCAGTTTTTGGATTAGATTTGGTCAGAAATGAATTCTTCATTGTGTAACCCAATTCTTAAAGACTTCTGTTTTTATTACATTGTTAATATTTATTTCATTCTGTTTCTTTTATAGATGTATCGTCTTATCTTCTTGTTCAGTAAACGTATAAACACGATTCGGAATGAATGCTTTAGTACAAAAAGAAAAACAACTAAAGTTCAAATTATTCTGATCACTAACATAAAAAGATTTAGCAGATCTAAATATTTTAGGGGTCTTTACACACTGACGATGAACATGAGGAAATATAATTTGAATCGATAAGCAAGCATTTCCTAATATGTGTGGTTGTATTTTTACAGGATGAGGTGGAAAGCATAGGAGGAGCTAAATCGTGCTGGTGGATAAAAGACTGTCACAGAGGGAGACTGAAGTGGCAGCAGATATGGGTTCAGATGGGAGGATGAGTTGGATCCAGCTACTGCTGGCCGCCTTGGCGGCGATTTGTTCTCTCAGTTCTATAGCTTCTGGAGCTCAACAGTAAGTAACCATGGCTTAATTTGAGACATTTCTCTCAATCTGATGCCTCTTCAAACAGGATTTTAGGTTAGAAATTTACAAAAACCTGTCCTCAAAGGAAAGTTTTATTCACACGACACATTTCTGCAAATCATTTTTTAACCTCTAGGAACCCAGAGTGTAACAACCTACTGTATTTAAACTTGATTAAATGTATGTAAGGGCAGCACGGTGGTGCGCCTCACTGCAAGAGGGATCTGGGTTCATAAAATCAACTACGGAACTTTCTGTGTGGAGTTTGCATGTTCTCCCTGTGTCTGCATGGGTTCTCTCCGGCTTCTCCAGCTTCTTCCCACTGTCCAAAACCTGCATGTTAAGTTGATTGGACATTCCAAATTGCCCCTTAGGAGTGAGTGTGAGTGTGAGTGTGCGTGGTAGTTTATCCTTGTGTGTCTCTGTGTGACCCTGGCAGACCGTCCAGGGTGTACCCAGTCCCCCGACGACCACATAAAGGAATAGGAAAATGGATTAAAAAATGTATTTTAAAACGTAAATTATGGAAATTCACAGATTTTTAACCTTTGGTGGTGGTACTCGTTATCGTTTTTAAAAAGAAAATATTGTAATCTTTAATGTGGCGTAGTGCTTTGCACTCGCCTGACACAGGAGTTCTTGGTTCAAATCCTGGAGACCTTTCCATGTGGAGTTTGTTTTGTCTGTTTGGGTTCGTGTGAAACAGCTTCAGAAAAGACAGCCTCACCTGTCCTTTATTGAGGAGATTAAAGCCAATAATAAAGTAAGATCGAAAAATAGAAAACTAAATTGAAATGTGGGCGAAGAAGAAAAGAGTAATGCAGTGTGTGCCCTGATTGCATCTGTGCTCCTTCGGTCATCAGCATATTTCCACATTGTTTGTTTAAAGTTTACTCAACCCCGCAAACAGAGATAAGAATGATTGATATGTGTTTTGCAGATATAAAACTAGACTTTGGTTTAGCGTATAGCTGCCTTTTTGTTTGTCTCAAACATGCTGTGTCCAATATGTTTAATTCTGTATTTACTCACTTTCCTTGTTAATTTCAGTAGACTCCTTCAATAAATGATAAATCTATCCTTCTTAGTATATTGTAATGAGTCTTGAAAAATAATCCACATCACCACATTTGTGATTTCTCACCTTTACAAAGGGAATAAATATTTGTCTGTCATAAACACTACCTCTTTGTGGATATGTTCTCCCCATATTATCTGTACAACAATTTTTGCTCATTTTGTGCAGGGAGGTGATGTCTGCTCCCAATTTGCTGCGAGTGGGGACATGGGAAAACATATTTGTTGAGATTCAGGACTGTACGCTTCAAGGCAACATTGATGTTCAAATCTTTGTGAAGAACCACCCATCCAAAAGCAAAATTATAACATCTACAACTGCGACCCTCACAAAGGCAAATAAATATCAGTTTTTGGCACGTGTGAAGGTAAGATACTGTTGAGCTTCCAAATGCGTGATTTTTAACCACCTGTTTCTTTTCTGTTATCCCGGTTCATAGCACAGTCAGCTCGGTGGAGATAAAAAATGATCAATAGTGTGGACTTCTATGGCCCCTCCATTATTTGCTTGATAATGCAGGCAGGACAATGTTAGAGAAAGTAGACATAAATCAGACAAATGAGAGTCTTTATGTTTAAAAGCTTTAAAAACCTATCTGATAGCATATTTCTTCGATTTCCACTGTCTCTGCTCTCAGATCCCTACTGGAGAGTTAAGTAAGGACCCCAACGTCAAGCAGTTTGTTGTTCTTCAAGCACAGTTCCCCGGTCGACTGCTGGAGAAAGTCCTGTTAGTTTCCTTCCAGTATGGCTTCATTTTTATCCAGACTGACAAGACCATATATACTCCTACTCAAGATGGTGAGTCCAGCACTTTGGCACTCAAAAGAATAGAGAATTTCTTACTTAGTAGAGTGAAATGGCCACAGACAACGTACCACATCCATCTGTTAATAAACCCTTGCTGTACCCAGAGTACGCAAGATAGGAAATATACATTCAAAATGCTTCATACACGAAGCTAATGTGAGCTCTGCCATTTTCTTGCCTCTTCTTAAAAACTCTTGAGAACTGGTTCCACACAGCCATGATTTGGTCTACAGAGCCACATATGTTAGCACCCTAATACCTGCTCACATGACAAAAGTGATCGATTTGACTTTAAAAGGCAAGCTCTGTCCAGTGAAAGTCAATAAAGCATTTGATGCTTCTTACAAAAAGTTGGTTATGTTGGGTGGAAATACCTGAAACATTTCAGCTACGGCGCTTGGCAACCCACTTTACCAACTTATCTCTCTCTAACAGTCCGTTACAGAATTTTTGCTCTGAGGCCAAATATGGAGCCAGTGGAAAAGGGGAGTGAAAAAGATACAGAGTCTTCAGTTCTCATCGAAATTATGGTATTGTGCTGGATCTTTTACACTCAATTCATCTTAGATTAAGTACTCTTAGTGAGTTCTAAAACATTCCAGAAAGAAATATGATCAGTCAGGTTCCTATATTCTCCAGTCTTTAGGAAGATGATCCAACAAATACAACATGGATTAAAGCATCAGTATTTCATTAAGATAGAATGAAGAAATTTAATGAATAAAAGATAATTAATCATTAACACGCACAGTAACACGAAATAATACATTTTCTGAATGAACACCAAAATTGTTGATGCCCACTGCTATTGAATGTTTAATTGTATTTTTGTTTTTTCAGACCCCTGATGGCATTGTTGTCCAATCTGATAGTTCCTCACTGACATCAGGGATGAAATCTTCAATTTACACTCTTGAGGACATCGTCAGGTAATGTTTCCAAACATGCCAAGGCTTCCGAAACGTTTGGAATTTTACCTGCGATGCCCATTAGCAGGTCGGCTTACAAAATGTGTTCTTTTTGTGCAGTTTTGGCATGTGGAAGGTAACGGCAAAGTTCCAAAACAGCCCACAGCAGACCTTCTTTGCAGAGTTTGAGGTCAAAGAATATGGTGAGCGTCACGCTAATTAAGCATCTCCCTTTAAATAATTGGTCATAAAGTCATACACTAATCATTGTTCCACAGTGCTTCCCAGTTTTGAGGTCAAACTATCAGTCGTTGGTGACCCATTCTTCTATGTGGACAGCAATGAACTGACCATCAACATCAAATCTACGTAAGAAAACAGATTTTCCGTTTGTGCAAGTCAAGCCTAACACATAGCTGGACGGGCTTTGATGTTTGTGCTGAGTTTTCCTGATTGAAAGTTAACTATTTTATTGTTGTTTTAGGTACGTTTTTGGTAAAAAAGTGGACGGGACAGCCTATGTGGTGTTTGGGGTCTATAGTAACAATGCCAAAAAGGGTTTTCCAGATTCTCTTCAGACAGTCAGGGTGAGCTACTATTAACTAATTTTACTCATTTCTGAAAAGATGCCAGCTGGCTTAGCTTACTGGTGCATTTTTATCCTTCTTTTTTTAATATATAGACTTTTAAAGGAACTTAGCAATGCAATTCTTATTTAAGTTCCTTTCCAGATTCAGCAACTGAATTAAACTTTTCTATTGTTTTTTTTACCTGTCCTATTTACATGGTTTAAAAATAAGTCAATGATTATAAAATGTTTCATTAGCTTTCCAGGGGTGAAGGCACTGCTACATTAAGGAAGGCAGACATTTTAAAGACCTTCAAAAACATTAACGAACTGGTGGGCAGCTCCATCTATGTAGCCGTCAGTCTACTGACACAGACTGGTGAGAAAAAGTGTCTTCTTCTCTTCTGGGGACTATGTGTTTTTACATGTTTTTTTTTATTTTGGTAACTTTGGTAGTAAGAAGTAGTAAACTGATTTAAACAGGAAACCTCATTTTGTGTTGTTGACATGTTGTAGCTGTTGAGGTAATGAATATTTAATGAAATATTTGATCATTTCACAGGAAGTGAAATGGTGGAAGCAGAGTTAAGAGGCATTGAGATGGTCACATCACCCTACAAGATCTTTTTCAAGAGGACGGCGAAATTTTTCAAGCCAGGAATGTCTTTTGACGTCATGGTGAAGTAGTCATTTTTATCCAGCGTCATATATTTTCTTCTTTTCTTTAAGGAAATAGTGTGGGAAATAATGTATTTCTACATCCATCACCATGCTTCTTATCTGTTGTTTAAAAGACTTACAGCCATTTCGTTCTTTTTTTTTTCTTTGACGGCAGGTCGAGGTTTTAAATCCTGATGGTACTCCAGCAAATAATGTGCCTGTGGTGGTTAATCCTGGAGGAATTAAGAGCAGCACCAATGCAAATGGCCTTGCCAAGGCTACCATCAATCCTAAGGACAAGTCGAGACTGACAGTTACAGTATGTTTGCTTTATTTTATCTTTTAGATTCATTTAGATCGGGTTAGTTCATTTAGATCGGGTTTAGATCGGGTTTTCTCTACTGGAATGAAATATTTTCATGGGAATATATCTGTTGAACACACTTTTAGATTTGTCAGTGTTTAAGGAATGCAACATACTTTTTCAGCATTATGTGCCTTTACTTATAGGCAGCGACCACCAAGCCTGGCCTTGTACCAGCAACCAGACAAGCATCCGCATCTATGGTAGCTGAACCTTATCAGTCTCAGAGTGAAAGTTATTTACATATAAGTAAGTGAAATTTTGAATGACATCATGCTATTAATTAAGTAATAATAGCAACAGTGCTATCCAAAACTATAAAAAATGACGTGCCCTGGGATCAATTACTAACTTGATCTATTAATTGCAGGTGTGGATACAGTTGAGGTGGATATAGGACAATTCTTTAGAGTCACCTTTTTCCTTAACCGCCCAGAACCTTCCAAAAGTGACTTAACATACCTGGTAAGAGATGTTAAGCTTGTGTGTTTGTTTGGAGACTCGCACCTCAACTAAGTCCGTTAGGTGCTCATGATTAAATATTTTTTTCCAGATATTGAGCAGAGGTCAAGTGGTGGGAAATTTCCGATTTGAGAACAACGCTCTGAACCAGATATCCCAGATGGTTGAATTTACCAAAGACATGCTGCCATCATTCCGCATTGTAGGCTACTACCACAAAGCCTCTGGTGAAGTGGTATCAGACTCAGTTTGGGTGGATGTAAAAGACACCTGCATGGGAATGGTGAGAGGCACAGCATTGATGTATGTGTTGATATAATGTTCCAGTTATATGTATTGTTTGATCATGATTTCTTCTTTTCGTCATTTCCTCCTTCAGTTGAAGCTGGAGGTGGTTGGACCTGCTCCATCCTATGAACCTCGCAGAACGTTCAAATTGAAGGTCACAGGAGATCCTGGGGCCACAGTAGGACTGGTGGCAGTTGACAAAAGCATTTATATCTTAAACAACAAGAATCGGCTGACACAGAAAAAGGCAATTTCTTTGTACTGTCTCTTAAAATATCATCTATTTTATCAGTGTGGTGTCTATGAAGAGATGACGGACTAACACACAACCACTAATACTTCTGTGGTTGTATTCTTGCTCTGTTTCAATGCCTTCCAATCTGTTCAGATTTGGGACACAGTGGAGAAATACGACCCAGCGTGCACAGCCGGTGGAGGGGCGAACAACATGAAAGTGTTTTACGATGCTGGGCTCATGTTGAAGTCCCCCAACAGCGAAACTCCCGACAGAACAGGTGCCGAGACTTCTGAATCTTATATTCAAACAACTTAAAACACCGCCTTTGTCACCTGTTTTCACCAAAGTTGGGACATCGTCTTTATTTCAGGACTTGCAAAGGCAGAATCAGCTGTTATCGCTCAGTGTGCAGTTTTTGTTTAGGAGTTTATTTCTGCATATTTTGTACAGAGAAGAGCACTGAGCCACCTAGCCCGGGTAGCAATGGAGCAATGTTTAACATTATCTCTGGTTTGCCTTTGCTGAAAGTTTTTTTTTATTTTTTATCATTAAACCATGGCATACCAGTAGATTTACACCTTTTCTACTTTACTTTTTCAGGTACTGAGTGCTCTACTACCCGGAGGAGGAGGAAACGAGCCAGCACTATATGGGATGTCAGGACAAGCTTGTGTAAGAATCATTGCTCAAACTCAAAAATCCCACCCTCTTTGAACTTTTCCTCCACGGTGTAGACATTCATAACTCTTGGCCTGATTTAAAAGAGTGCAAAAGAAAATCTAGACACATGTATTGTAAAAGTAAATGTACTGTTTTCAAACCTGTTTGGGTATCAATTCAAATGAGCTGTTGTGAGCTGTTCGCCCATCGCCCATTGAGCACTGGGATAGGCTCCAGTCCCCACAAGACCCCATCTCAGAATAGGCGGTTACAAAAATGGATGGAAATATTTTTGTGCTGTATTGTGTGGTTCACATGGCATTATTGTATTAAGGGAACTTTTAAAGAATATGGCAAACAACAAAAGGCTATGCACATTACACTTTGGAGTGCAAATGTTCCTAAATATTAGCCAAGGTGAGATTTCAAAGCCAGTTGGCAAGAAAATCGAACACGTGTTTGGGATTAATACCAACATTGAGCAGTCTATATTTGAAATACAAAAATATCTTTATTATCACTATAATATTATTACTTTATCTAGACCTTTCATGCGGGAAAAATAAATATTTACAGGCAATATTTGAAGGAAATAGTATATATGATAAAATCCAAACAAAGGATAGCTACAAACTATTACTTTTTAAACCCCTCGATGCCAGCAAGCAAACACAATAAGAAATACACGTGCAAGCAAACAGAAACTTCTGTAAGCATGCAGGAGACCTTTGAACACACAGAAATACTTTAACCTGACCTGTAAAAGCTCAGACCACTGTTTCTCTTAACTTGTCTTTCAACCCATTTTTTGGTTCAGTGAGTGAATTTAAAGAAAAAGAGGAGCAGGAATGCTGTTTGGATGGCATGCGAGAAGTCCCTGTTTCGTATGACTGCAAAAGACGCAGTGAATACATCGACAATAATGAGAAATGCACCAAGGCCTTCCTGCGCTGCTGCGACGAGATGAGTAAAATTCAAGAAGACAACAAGAAGGAACTCTTACAACTTGCTCGCAGTAAGAGATGGGTACAGAAGATGGAGTGGAGGTGTGGGTGGGGACAGCAGATAGATTTATATATATTAGAGAGATAAGCTTCTAAAAAAAACTCCTCACTTCTTTGATGGCTTCTTAAGGTGAACACGAAGATAATTACATGGACAGGAATGACATTCAGTCTCGTACTAATTTTCCTGAAAGCTGGCATTGGACTAATGTCAAACTGACTTGCCCACCAACTGATGCTAACTGGTAAGGAAAGGAAAAGAAAATAATACAAAAACTTCGCCATTCTTTTAATTTGTCTCTTAAACTTCCTTTCAGTAAGGTTGCATCCGCCGAACAATATGTTCCTTTGCCCGACACGATCACAACCTGGGAGATGACTGGCATTGGCTTGTCAAACACGCACAGTGAGAACTCTTTTTAACTCCTTACGTTAGTTTTTCATAGAATTTGGATTTCGTGCAGGTAATTGCAATGTGTAAAGTTTCTCTTTTCTTCACTCTCTATTTTAGGCATCTGTGTCGCTGATCCACTGGAAGTCGTTGTCTGGAAGCCTTTCTTTATTGACCTCAAGCTTCCATATTCAGCTGTCAGAGGAGAGCAAGTGGAAATCAGAGCAATTCTCCACAACTACAATATTGAGACTATCACTGTGAGTCCCTGCTGCTACACTGAAACTATCAGACACTATGCAGCAGTGCATGGAAAATGAATTAACAGGCAACTACGAGGTGTAAAAGTATAAAAATGAACATGCAGCTAATATTCGAAAAACCACTGGCAAGCTCTGTTTCCTCTTAGACATTCATGCTTGTACGTTTTGGTTTAATAATGTATCTTTTCATCTTGTGATGGCATAGTTTGATTGTATTTTCTATTCACGTAAACCCTAAAAAACAAACCTGTTCATGCTGAGAATTTTCCTTACAAGCGTAGTCTCTGACTGAAAAAATGTGCATCATTACTGCCCTTTGTGCCAAAAATTTGTAAGAGCATCAAAGACACTAAAGCCTTTGTCCATCTTCCTGTTTTTACCTATTTGAAGGTACGCGTGGAGCTTAAAGAAGATGATGGCGCATGCAGTTCAGCTTATAAGAAAGGGTGGTTTTCTCAGGAGGTTCAAGTTGGACCTGAAACGACACGAGCTGTAGCATTTATCATCATTCCTATGAGGACTGGATCAATCCCCATTGAGGTCAAAGCAGCTGTTAAGAACTCGTACTTCAGTGATGGAATTGAGAAGAACCTCCGTGTAGTGGTAAGACAAATGAGTGTCACTTTGCTGTGGTGTGCTTTTCTGTGGCAGTGAAATGATCAAGCAGCAACATGATCCTCAGTAATTATTCAATAGCTGCAGACTACATGTCTGAATGGATGTCAGACTTGCTGGTTGTCTTTTCTGCTTGATCTTCAGAGCTTTAGAGCTTCACAGTGGAGGGGAGTAAATCATTTTTGGATTGGCAACTGGTTTGACAAATGAGTTGACTGTCTTTATAGTTGTTATTGTATCCTGAAAAGGAATATATCATTCAGATTTCCAAACTTTAGCTTTCCAAAGCTTTATTATATGTGCAGGTACGTGCAAGTGTCATAATTTGATATTTATTAAAAAAATATTACATCAAACTTTTTTTTTCAATGCTAAAAGTAAGACATATTTCCTGATCTTGCATTTTATGCCAGCAGTAATTTCAGAAAGCTGGGGAACAGGGAGACAAAAGGTTTGAAAAGCAAACATCACTTAAAACATTAGTCATTGATCATTAGGTCCATTGGCAACATGTCAGTAACAGTATGGACATTTGCTCGATTTTGTTTTAATTACTTATTTCTAGAAAGTGTCGTAACTGTTGATGGCAAATATTGACCAATCTAATTTAAAGGTGGCTCTAGAAAAATACTGCAGCTAATGCTCTTTAGTCTTTTTTTTCAGTATTTTGGACCTTTCCATTATGCAAAAATCTCCTTTTGAATATTGTGACAAAGCAGTGTTGATGGTTTCCTTAAACTTTATATTTATATGTTATTTCATGTTATTTTATTATTAATTGATACTTCTAACAATATTTGTTGCACACCTGTTGTTTCATTTGAAAGTTTCTTGACAGGAAATCAACCATTTCTATTTTGACTGCTGTCTTTCCAGCCTCCAGGTGTGCTGGTGAAAACTCCGTTTGATGTCATTTTAGAGCCAAGCAAGAAAGGTAAAGCCAGTTAACCTTTTAAGAGGCTGCAACAAGTAAAATTTAGTCATTTCTTGCCCTCTTTTGTTGAACCTGCATTCTCATTGTCTCCTTCAGGTGGTAAACAAGTGGAGACCATCAACAGTGGTCTAAAAATAACAGATTTGGTTCCCAACTCACCGACAAGCACACTAGTATCTTTAACAGGTGAGATCAAAAAATATTTTAAACGACAGACGTAATGCAGTAGTGAATTAAATATTTGAGAAAAACAGACCATACAAAGGTTTATAGTCTCCTTCATTCATTTAACCAACCATATCTGCATGAACTGTCATGATGGGCCAAGACTGTGTGCATTAAGATTTCACATTAAAGCACATGAGTACACATGAATACCATTAATACCTTAAGAAATATCCATCTACAAATCCCAGCTCTGTGGCTAAAACAAACCTTTTGTGATGTACATACAGATCCACCACTTAAAAAAAACGGAAATACTGAATGGTGGTAAAATGATAAGAAAGGTTTGCTTTTGGCCCTCTAGAAATCACAAAAATGAAGGTTTACACCCCCTACAAACCATTTCTTTGTTGTTATCTAAAGAGGTTTCTATGGATTGGTGGTGTTCACCTTCGATAAATGGCAATAGTTTATTTGTTTCAATCCCTGTGAACAAAAGCTTTTAGAGAGCCACACACTTTTAAACATTCCAGCCCAGAGTTTCTAACCAGTAGTCAGGCAGTGCAGATGTGAGCGGTCAGTCATGGTCCATGCACAATGGCTGGACCGGACTTGCCGTAAAGGTACACATAGATAAACAGTGCAAAAAACTCGACGTGGTGATGCTTAATAAACAATGGTTGCCACCGTGGAGCTTTCTGGTTTTTATTGCAAATGTTAAAGGTTGTGGGGACTTTTTTTTCTGTCTACACAGGAATTGAGCAGCTGAATACCCTCTTTGAAGACAGCATCAGTGGTCAATTTATGGGTTCTCTGATCCAAGAGCCCACGGGCTGTGGAGAACAGAACATGATCGGCATGACGCTGCCTGTCATTGCAACTTTATATTTGGACAAAACCAACCAGTGGCAAGATGTGGGCTTTGAAAAGCGTGACAAAGCTCTAGGGCACATTAAATCTGGTAAGTGCACACAGATGTCTTTATCAACACACACTGTCAAAATTGTGCTGCAAAATGTATTATCTTACAACAAAAAATGTTATGACAAAAATGGCACAATGTTACACTAATAAGCCATGCTCATACCCATAATTGGACCTTTTAACCTTTCCAGTTCCTGATGTTTTGAAGAAATAATGTTTGCCTGCTAAATGTTTTTCTGCTTGCTCTGCCCAGGCTACAACAAGGAGCTTGCATACCGTAAAACTGATGGATCATTTTGTATTTTTCAGTCATGGAAAAGCACCACCTGGTGAGAATATTGACACTCTCTGGTTAATATGAACTCAATAAAAGTGGCATTTCAAGGAATGAGCATGCAAGAATGAATCCAAAGGAATAGTTTCCTTCTTTTTTTTCTTCTTTAAAATTCACTGTGCTGTAACATTTTTTCTCCATTGAAAGGTTGACTGCCTATGTTGCCAAGGTGTTCTCAATGGCCTATAATCTTGTGGTGCTTGATTCTGGTGTGATCTGCGACGCCATCAAGTTTCTCATTCTGAACACACAGCAACCTGATGGGATGTTTGTCGAAATTGGAAGAGTGTACGAACAACACATGATTGTAAGTTCACTCAGCTCTAAATGTAAATTTGGGTCCGAATATGATAAGAAATCTATCTATCTATGTCTCTTTATATATATATATTATATATATATATATATGTGTGTGTGTGTTTTTGTGTTTGTGTAGGGGGATGTTGGTGGTGTGGATTCAGATGCCTCAATGACAGCTTTCTGCCTTATTGCCATGCAGGAATCAGAAACATTATGTTCTTCTTCTGTTAACGTAAGCAACACATCAACACACCATGTTTTTTCTGTTAACTTTCTTTCTTTATGTCATTGTTTGGAATGTGGTACCTTAGAAATATCTGTTCTCAAAAGATTAACTGCAGTTATGTCATTTCTGTCATTGATTCCTCTATTCCCCACACTCAAATCTTTTGAGATAGGAAAAGTGGAAAAGTTTGTCTAAATGATTGTCAGACTTTTAATAACTGTATAAGTTGTCCTACTAATCAGAGACATGAGAGCTGAAGCCAGAAAATTTCCAGCTCACTCTGGATCTCTTAATTTTAGAATGTGCCCAATGCTGTACGTAAAGCAACAGCTTTTAATCCGACTGCTTAAAAATATGCATGTATAGGTAATTGGAGATTCTAAATTGACCCCAAGAGGGAGTATGTATGAGCTTGGTATTTAGGACCAGGATCACTACTAGTCTGCTTTTGTGCTAAATCACTTGGCTGATTGCTACATTTTTCTCCATTATTTTGTGTATTTTGTCTTCTAGTCATTGGCAAACAGTAAAACCAAGGCAATAGCCTACCTGGAGAGGCGTCTGCCTCGTCTCTCCAACCCCTATGCTGTGGCAATGACGTCATACGCCCTGGCCAATGAAAACAAACTCAACAAGGAGATCCTCTACAAGTTTGCTTCTCCAGGTTTTACCTTATAGTTTTCCTGAAAATGGTCTCATTTTTTATAAATATAAGTACACACCTAAGGAAGATAGATAGATAGATAGATAGATAGATAGATAGATAGATAGATAGA